CCGGCGGGCGCCCCCGGGGCCAGGCCGCGTCCCGCCGCAGTCACTCTCCTTTGCAAACGTACAGGTAGATCGGTTGGGACTCAGTCCGCGGGCGCCGGGCCAGGCTGGGCCGTTACTGGGACGCCTGCGAGGTGGGGTTCTCCGCCTTGCTCTCCTGGCTGGAGGGCGGCTTGCTGTTCCAGGGGCTGTTGGCGCCCAGGGCGGGCGAGTTGTTGAAGCTGTCCTCGTCGTCGATGCCGTTGGCTGCGTCGAACTGCGTGTTCTCCAGCCGCGTGATGAGCCGCTCGTCCTCGTCCCCGAACTCCCCGCCCATCAGCGTCGGCTCGCCCACCACCATCACATCCTGAAAGGGGAGACGGTCCCGAAACATAATCGAGGCAGGGGCGAGCCCGGCCCTCCGAGGCCTTCCCAGACCCCCCGCTTGGCGCCGGCAGCCGCCCTCATGGCCCCCCCAAGACCTGGCAGCGCACCTCCCAGCCCAGCCAGGGGCAAATGCAGAAAAGAAATCTCCGGGGTTTATCCTTGACTGTCTTTTGCCAGGCAAGGACTGGTCACTGCACAAAACTAGGAGGCAGGTCATTTAAAACCAACACCGGGACTTGCTTTTCCACCCAGTGGGGAATGAAAGAGGGGAGCTCGTGGCCCCCGGATGTGGTGGAAGCTGAGGGATCAGCCAGATTCATGTCGGACACGTGCTGGAGGAAAGGGGCATCGGCCGCTGTTGAGCAGGGAGTAAGGGGAAGTGGCTGGGGGCATCCGTGAGCTGCGTCAGACATGCCCATGGCAGGATGGACCTGGGTCTGACCCAGCACGGGGCAGCTCTGTTTGTAGGTCCTGGACCTCAACTGCTCCCACGGAGCTGGCAGCCCCCCACCCCCCCGCTGGGATGGGGCATCTCCACTGCCCCTACAAGGGGACCCCATGTGGGGGGTTTGCCAGCTGGGCCCCGTCTCCCTGCACCCCTCTCCTTCTGGGGTCCCTGCTCTAATGCCAGGTGCTGACACTGCCAACCGTGCCCACGGTTGAACCCCAGGCAGCTTAGGTCCACGCAGGCACGAGTGAGCCCAGCAAGCCCCATCACCCCGTGGGGGCACGGGGAGGGGTCTGGGAGCGTAGAGCCTTGCTATTCATCCTTGCAGGGAGAGGCCGTCCCTGCCCACGGGGCTGGCCACGAGCCTGCCAGGCCCTGCGCCACCACGGGTGGGAGGGAGAGGGCCGCGCTGGGGCCAGGAAGGAAGAGAGAATGGAAAGGGGATGCTTACAGGTACCTGACTGGAGAGGGCGAAGGTGCTGGCCGGGCTCTTCTTCTTGCTGTTGCTGTTGTTGGTGTTGCCCCCGCCCGAGCTCATGGTGCTGCCCCCTGACATCTTCCGTTTCCGGCGCTTGCTGGGCTGCTGCCGTGCCGGCTCGGCTGGGGGCACACGTCCGGTTACTGCCCCCGGGCTCCACCTGCTCCACTGCTCTCCCCCCCACCCTGCCCAGCACCACGGAGTGGGAAGGGTTAATGACTCATCACCAAGTGACTCGGTGCCAGGGCTGGGAGTGGT